GTGCAATTATTAAATTCTATGAATTAAAATAAGTTTAAATCATAAACGTGAAGACAGCTGCCATGGTGGGAACAAATTAGGCCGCAGTGGTCAATAAATCMAGGGGCCTACAATGTAGTTGTGCTGGTCGTACAAACTGTGATTTTCAAAATAAAACAAGTGAATATGCCGCTGCGAGACTCGCTGGTCACTTCAATCAGAATTTAATGAGAATTGAAGAGAAAATTTGCCATTTTCCTGCAGTATTGAGTCAATTCATCAACAGCACTTAAAGGTTCTTTTCACGCTACAGGAAAATTTGAAACCAAACWGAGATTTATTGAAAATAATGTTCAAACTGATATTTCACACACGTTTTGTAATCAGGATTTTAACCTAATATTTAACATGAACTAAAGCTTTTAGTCTAAAGGYCTCCCTCTGTCCGACCATCCAAACATCCTTTCTTTTACACAACATTTTAGTGGCTGGCACAAAACCGTCAATTAAAGTATATATTATTCCTTCCTGGCATCCCGTTAATGCTTTACTCTTATATCCATCCACCTCTAACTTCCTGTCCAACCCTCTCTGCCTGCAATCTTTCAACTAGATCTCTTTCTCTCTGTATTTATATATTTATATATATCCGTCATTCTCTCTCTCTCTCTCTCTCTCTCTCTCTCTCTCTCTCTCTCCTGCCCTAATGCACAAGATGGCAGTTTGCAGTGGATGACAAACCGAATGTTCATTATTTAAAAAGCAGAATGACAGTAAACCCTGCCAGCACTTGGAGAAAAGTGCAGCCTACAATGACTCCAGATGGAGCACGGCAACTTTCGAAAGTTTCCTGCTCTTGCCTTCAACCATGACGGCCAAGACGAAATGGATACTGAAATGTTTGGCAGAATGAATGTGTAGATAATTTTCCTGCTTTTGTTGTGTTGTTTTTTATTTATTTATTTATTTATTTTGCCCACTTCAGCTCATCCTCCAGGCTGAAATGGTAATTAGGCAAAAAGCTGTCCTATTTAAACTCAATGTGGAAGAATGCTCTTGGGTATGGAAGATACATCAGAAGATTGTGGTTTTGGCAGGGGGAGTTCTGGTGCTTGATTTGGTTGGAGCTTGTTTTTTTCCGACATGAATTTTGCTTTTTTTTTGTCTCTCTTTGACTCACTCAGGCCCAYCACCCAAGGCATCAATACCTCCCACCCAAAACAGCAACAACAAAATAGCCCATCTTTTCTTTTTAAGAACTGTTTTTAACAAACTTAYTTTATAATTTGTGCAGAATTTCTCTTGTTTTCACATTTTGAACAAACCCTGAAGCTTAAAAAAAGAATTGTTTTTTTTTCCCTTAACATTTACTAGACTTATTTGAATTGTAGAAATGCCATTTTAAAAGGGATAAGATGCATCCTGTTCTCCTTGAATTAATTGCATTTCCATGAAGATCTCAGTAGGCAGCCATCTGCCATTTGGGGCTCCTCTGCAAATGCTGGAATACTTAATAAGAGTGCCACAAGTACTGCTGCAATGTTAAGTTAATGAAGGATTTTATCTTTTCCTTTTGGGAGCTTCTTTAAGCTTCTGTCATGTTTTGAAGTCTTACTAAAAATGTGGTTAGCATTTCAAATTTGTCACAGGAGTGAGATGCGCTGTAGAAATGACCTTTTCCCACATCATGAATACAGACAAAAATTCGAATGCAATAAAAGTTACTGTGTAACAACTTTCTGAGAAATCATAAAATTGTATTTTTCAGTCTAAAGCAAAAAAAGCCAAAAACATTTTGCATTGCCAAAAAAAAAGGATAAATTAGTCACAGAAAATGTTTTCAGCGATGAAAACATAGCAGTATGTGTTTTCTTAGAATTAATTGTAGTCGATGCCAATGGATTTGTTTTGATGCCAGATATATGCAGAGCGAGGCGACGACAAATACGGTGGAAGTTAGGACGTTTTGCTGCYTTACCTCAAATTATTTCCATTTAACAAGTCTCACAGGAACATTTGGTGCAAAATCTATAAATTATTTTAACTGTAGTTTAATCAGTTGCAGTCGTTTCTTGCTTGTCACCGGAGTGTCGGATAATTGAGTGGGATTGTGTGAGCAGTGATTGGCAGCATTGCTTCCCTGCAAGGGTTTGGATTTTAAACCTTTTGATTGGTTGTTATCGCAGCCTCTCACCCCACGTTTGTTACTTGGGCTTCAGCCCTTGAAGTCGAGCTTGGCATTTAGAAAATGTTTGCATTGCCTCCGGGATTTCTTGGTTAGGCTCCAAAAAATTGAAGCTACACCTAAAACAGCATCATTAAAATAGTGCAGATGGCGTCTTCTATGTTTTAAAGTCGTCATATGAGGCTTTAAATCCACATTTTTTAACATTTAAAACATTCAGTTGGGGTCTAAATAAAGTGGGCAATACTTTTGTCTGAATTCCTCCTTATTGTAGCTCCACAAGCCCCGCCCCTTTTCTGAGGCATGTCTCAGATCAACTCATTTTGAGACTGTCTCTTTAAATCCAAACGAGGCACTTGTAGAAGGGTTCACGACTATATAGCAGAGCAGAAACATTTTATTTACAAATGAATTAAACGATGTCAGCAAGGGAAGCCTTGTCCATCCAGCCTCACATGTTGGAGCCAGAGTCTGACCCAGAACCAGAGGAGAAGGAAGACCACCAAATTGTAGTTGGTAAAACCAGACCTTATTTGGCAGTTCTGTCGCAAATAATTTGACGTAATAGTTCAGAAAATGTGATACAAAATAAATAAAAATGTATGGGCTGAAAAATATTACCCAAACAGAATATAAAGATATCCACGCAGCACCACTAAATTCCTGTTCAGGACTCCTAAAGATTACAAGTCCACAACAAATTGTATTTGTTGACTAAAAAAGTGGATTTTGCAGGATATGTCCCCTTTAAATTGCAACACAGTTTGCTAAAAGTATGTTTACACCTAAAAATACTCTGCAACACAACTTGAACATGGAGAAATCACATGAAGGTCTCATAAGGAAGTGCCAGTTTGTGACAAAAAAAGTGGATCTCCTTTCCAGATGTGTTTGTTTGGATGGTTTTATCTGAATAACATTAAAAAAAACTTGTCTGACAGTGTTTTATATTTTAGTGGCACAAACAGAATTTCGATCAGGCTGTGTTTCTGTTTCTTTCTCTCCCTCTTCATTTGTGCTTGTGACACTGCTGGTAACCTCATGTTTGATCAGGATTTGTGCACAGATTTATTTACGATTTCATTTTTCAATTGGTTTGGTTTGGTTTAGGCAAATAAATTATACTTGGCTAAACAAAACAATGCTTGTTTAGGTTCAGGAAAACATTTGCATTGCGTATCTCAGAGGTGATTTCAAATTGACATTGTTTGTTTGTACCTGTCATAGACCAGGAGTCAGTGCAGCATGTTGCACCTAATGATCCCAGAACCATCTTCACACAGAATCCAGGAATATTTAATGAAAATATTTAATAAAGTTTAGTATACGCAGGTGAAATGAAATCCCCACATGCTGGAACAACTCTTTGGCATTTCAGAGAAGACGATGCAACAAACCCCACACAGCCAGCCATCCCAGTTTTCTCTGTGCATGGTTTAACTAGTGCAACTTCAAGATTTCCCTGTGAGACAGGAACAGTCATTATCTGTACAGCCTTAATTGGTTGCTTGTCAGCAAAACAGAAATATCCTAGTGCACCAGCCATGACAAACACTAATAACACCGACACTAGGTGTGAGACCCTGGAAGGTCATTTGATCTGCTGTGCACAGATATGCACGATTTTGGGTGCAAAACATCATTATTTTTCCCCGCGGCTGGTTTCCATCAGAGTTTTCAGAGCTGACCGTGAATTCAAGCTTGATTTTGATATTGAGGATGTTTTGTTCAACAGATTCAGTCCACCCCAGTGTTTGTTTGAGGCTTTAGCCACTAGCCTTCACTAGCTCCCAGCTACAAGGTTAGCCCCGCAGCACAAGTGTTTCTCTCGTCGAGCCTGGCTAACTCTGCAACTCTCTGTGTCGCTTTGTGTCTCTTTAGGTGTGCCTGGTAAGCCTCAGATCTCTGGGTTTGAAAATCCGGTGCGAGACGGAGAAACAGTCACCCTGACCTGCACCAGCACGGGCAGCAAGCCCCCCGCCAGGCTGCGCTGGTTCAAAGGAAGAGAGGAGGTGGAAGGTGAGAGATGCAGTGCACGAAGGCTTGTTTATTTTTTTTGTTGTTGTTGTTGTTGTTTATGTTTTTTTACAAACCAAGGTGAAAAAATTTCATGTTGGACATTTTGGTTTTTGCAAGGTTTGGACACGTGTACAGGAAGGTTGCTCTGAAGGGATGTGGGTGTAACTGGCAGCAATCTGAGTGTGTGTCGTTGTGTGTGCGTGTTTGTTTCGGTGTGTGACATCATGCTGTGTGTGTATAGCATCCGTGCCATATTGCCGGGTGTCTCTCCATGCGTCCTAAACCTGTGGCTTGAAATCAAAAAGAAAACAATAAGTAGGTCCTCTGGATGGTTCTTCTTTAGTGAAACGTTTCGTCTCCCCTCCAAGAGACTTCTTCAGTCTGAGGAGTTTCAGGTGAACTCAGCCTTATAAGCWCYGCCTCCACATGGACAAGTAGGTTAGTCACATGCAAAATAGGGCCATCGACTAACAATAGGCTTGATTAGCTCTACTGTTCATAGAGGGTCATGTATACCATCACCTGACCCGTGTCATGTTATGTSTATGTAGTGAATGCAAGCAGGGGTTCAAAGTCACCTTGTTTTTGTCCCTCTTTGTGTTGGTATCATTGGGGCCCTGATTCACACCAGGGGGCGGAGTCATACTTGCAGTAACAGCGTTGTAGGAGGAGGACAACTGAAAACGGAGGCCTCCACCTCTGTTTAATGGTAGACGGTTTTTCTTCACAAAGATGGCTTCCTTTACTCCTCTCTCAAACCAACGTTCCTCTCTATCAAGGATGAGAACATTTTCATCCCTGAAAGTGTGACCGCTGGCCTGTAGATGAGTGTAAACTGCAGAGTGCTGGCCTGTAGATGAGTGTAAACTGCAGAGTCCTGACCCGACGATGTAGTTCGTCTGTGCTGGCTCATTCTTTTGGACAGTGTGTCTCTAAATGTTTTTGTCGTAGCCTGAAAGCATGGCTGCTTGTCTGCAGGAGTGAGTGCCACCATGGCCCRTCTCTCCCAACCTCCCTCCCCATCTTGAACCTGTAAATGCCTTCCCATTCATCCGCGGGGCCGCCTGTGCACTTCCCTTTTTCACATTTTGATCCCGAGTTTATTTGTGCAAGTGCTGCTATTTGTGTGCTGCAACCCATCTGCAACCGGGAGTGACACAGTGGCGAGGGAGAGATAGCCTAAGTCGGATCGAGCCGGGGATAACGACAGAACCCGGCAGTGAAAGCCAAGGCAGAGAAGAAGATGAAGGGATGTGGTTGAACAGAGAAGCAGAGATAGACGGAGCTTTACATGAGGTCGCGCTCACTGGGCTTTTATTGCAGATAAACGGGAGAAATAAGCAGGGAGGGGAAACAAAAAGGCCGAGGGGAACGCAGGGAGCAGGTCACAATAAGACCGCTTTAAAGGCTTTTATTGTTAAAGACAAATTAAATGGAGGATTGGCAGCCTCTGAATCACACCTATGATTTTGGCAGTGGCGGCATTTCTCCAAATTACTGCCACGTTTCCTGTAACCCCCCCTTGTTTCTTGTTGCCTCATCACTCAGAGGCTTTCTGCTTCGCTTTATTGAGCAGAGAAAGCATGTTGCGAGTGTTAATTCTGCTGCCCTTTTACTTCTTCCACCATCTGCCCTTACAAGAAGCTCTGCTGGAGCACGGGTTGGCTCGCCCTGGAAGAACAGTGCCCTCTGTCTGCCGGCACAGCCACTCAGGCACATTCCACCGTGCACGGGCTGCACTGCTCAGAGCTGTAAATGCTCTTTTTACAGCTCTTTGTGTCGTAATTGTACAAGTATAATATGATAATATAATACGATAACGATTTATTGACATTGAAATGCTGCTCTCAGGCTTTGTTGTGCAAAACGCCTGTGTTGTCCAGATGCTTTGGCGGTGTCGTTATAATTACGGTTTTGAAAAGAATCAAAAAGAATGGACTAAAGCTACAAAGAGAAGACAGAATGGGAAAGCTGCCCGCCCGAGGACAGATTATCTGCTCCTTTTGTTGCGAGCTGAACTAAAAACAGGAGACGGAGAGAAACGAGAGGAATGTGGAGAAGAATGCAGACACTGAAAGTCTGTTTAAACCAGACAACAGAGAAATGGAAGATGGTTGCCCCGGTCGGATAAATCAGGTTTCGTTTCCTCCGCGTGGACGTCCCGGTCGGTATGTGTCTCTCACCTGGGGAGGGTTTGGACACGTGATGCAGTCGGTGGAGGGGGCGAGCCAGCACCAGCACTGTGACGAGATTTGTTTGCTCCTTGTATTGTTTTACTAACATTGTCAACTTGCACCACATCAAACTTTGGCTGGACATGTGGGGTGCTGTTTGTAAAGTTGCACAGTCCAAAATAACCACCAGTATTTTTGTTTTATTTAGCCTTTTATAAGAAAAAAAGAACAGATTTATTTTCAAAGTCTTCACCATATGATTCATACATTTTTAAATGTCATAGTTTATAAACTAAATATTTAACTTACAAATTAAATATTTAGTTAACAAGTTAAATAGTTAAGTTGTGACTTAAATATTTAGTTTTGAGCAAAATATTTAGCTTGCAACTTAAATATTTAGCTAGCTACCTAAATATTTAACTTAAATATTTAGGTAGCTACCTAAATACTTAGGTAGCTACCTAAATATTTAACTTAAATATTTAGGTAGCTAGCTAAATGTTTAAGTTGCAACCTAAATATTTAAGTTGCAACCTAAATATTTAAGTTGCAACCTAAATATTTAGGTACTTAGCTAAATATTTAAGTTGCAACCTAAATATTTAGGTGGCTAGCTAAATATTTAGGTTGAAAGCTAAATATTTAGCTCAAAACTAAATATTTAAGTCACAAGTTAAATATTTAGCTTGTTAACTAAACATTTAGCTACCAACCTAAATATTTAAGTTAAATATTTAGGTAGCTACCTAAATATTTAGCTTGCAACTTAAATATTTAGGTGGCTACCTGAATATTTAAGTTGCAACCTAAATATTTAGGTTGCAACTTAAATATT